CCCTTCTCTGCTTCATAAAAAATGACAGCCTACCATACCAGAAAAATATGAAAAAAACATGAATATATCGTGTTTTTTTTTTCTTTTAATGAGATATGATATTTGGTCATGATAAGAAACAATAAGGATGAATATATTCATCTAAATCAAGAATATTTGATAAGTTAGGACTATACCATGAGTCAAATAGAGAACAAGGGAGAAAAATAGAGAGATCGGCACAAAGAAAAATTTTTTTTCAAAGAATGTTATGTTTCAATATTTGAAAATTTACACTGTGAATAATGAATAATTTTTAAATGCATGATCTTATTCTTAATCAATGAATTAAGTTAGCATCACTTCCATAAGGTTTTCATAAAAACATTTCTGCTATGCTTTCGTAATCTTTCGTAATTCAAGTAAGTCTTCCACATCATTTTCTATATATGATATTTTTCATGTTATTATATTATTCTTCACGATGTTATAAGATATTTATTTTTCTTTGATGAAGACATTTTTATAGAACTATTGTCCAAGCCAAGTTGAAGGGTGAGTTTTGTTTTTATAAATTGTTATGGTTGGTCTTTAATTACATCCTACTCCGGCAAGAATGGATATCCTGATTTGCCTTTCAGAGCCATGTTCTGACTTAAAAATACAATTCATTTCCTTAATTTTGGCAACTCTTAGTTGCTGTTCCTGTCTGCTTCAAATTTATAGTCTCACCACTTCTAGGCAAGAAACTTCCACCAGGTTCATTGGGATTTCCACTTATTGGAGAGTCTATCAGCTTTGTAAGGGCACAAAAACAAAACAGGACTCCTGAATGGTTTCTGAGCCGGATCAAGAAGAATGGACCGGTATTCAAGACCTCAATCTTAGGTTCAAAGATGGTGGTTCTAACTGGCCAAGCAGGAAATCGTTTTGTATTCAGTGGCGGTGACAATGGTATTTCATACAATCAACCAACTTCGGTGGTCAGAGTGCTTGGGAGGTACAGCCTTTTCGAGATGTCAGGGTCCCGCCACAAGCTTATTAGGGGTGCAATAGCCAACTTTCTAAAACCAGAAAGCATCCAACGGTTTGTTGCCAAAATGGATTCACTGGTTCAGCAACAGTTATTCAAGGTAGGATTGGAATTCAACTGTTTATTGTTTATTTCTACTAATTGATTGAACTAAGTTCAAGTAGCCTATATTAAAACTTTCTGTTTTGATTCATCTTGCTGATAAACAGGAACTTCATGGCAAGGATTCAATAAAAATTGTGCCTCTAATGAAGAAGATAACATTTAATGTAACATGCAGTATTTTTTTGGATTTCCTGACGGTAAGGAGAAAGATGAACTATTGAAAGACTTTTCACTCACTGTCAAAGGAGTATGGGCAATTCCATTGGATTTTCCAGGGACTGTCTTTCATAGAGCAATGCAGGCACGGCAAAGGGTCTGTAAACTGCTTTCAAATCTGATAAGAAACAGGAAAAAACAAGAAGAGGAAGGAACCGTGGATCCTACTGATGAAAACATTATATCTAGCCTCCTTGTCCTGAGAGATGAAAATGGACATTCTTTACTTGAAGAAGAAATTCTTGATATTTTCCTTTCCTTGATAATGGCTAGCCATGACACAACTGCAATTCTCCTAACCCTCTTCATAAGACACCTTTCAAGGGATGCAGAAGTATCAAGCAAGGTGCTTGAAGGTATACACAAATTGCCCATTAATTTTTTGAATTAGGATCTTCTGATATATGTATAATTTGCCTGTCAGGAGTAATTTTACATTGTCCTGAACTTGTCATTTTATCGTAGAACAAAATGAAGTTGTTAAGGCCATTAAAAGAAATGATGGAAAGCTCACCTGGAGTGAAATACAGATGATGAGATATACATGGAGAGCAGCTCAAGAGCTCATGAGGGTCAATCCCCCAATGATTGGCAGTTTCCGGCTAGTAACCAAAGACGTTACCTTTGATGGCTATGACATCCCCAAAGGATGGCAGATATAGTCACATGGATTCAATATAATCCTATAAACTTGGAAACAAAGAAAAGTATTTTCATTGGTTGCAAATATTGTACACAAAGTCCTAACTTATAATTTGTATTTTGTATAGATATTTTGGGTGGCTCCAGGCACTCACATGGACAGCAACATATTTGAAGATCCTGAGAAGTTTGATCCGTCAAGATTCGAAAACTCATCAAAAGCATTCCCTCCATATACTTATGTACCATTCGGAGCGGGGCCTCGAATTTGTGCTGGAGCAGAATTTGCTAGAGTTGAAGCATTGCTGATATCATTTTGTAACAAAGTATGATTGGACAGAAATGATTCCTAATGAGCCTGTCACCCGTGAACCAATGCCATACCCTGCCATGGGACTTCCTCTCAGGCTTTATCCAAAAAATTGATATGTAGAAAGCCAAATTTTATAAATTTAAATGAGGCCTGGGATTTTTAGAATGAACTGGATAAAATCTTTTGATCCTAACACTCTTTTTCCCGGTACTGACTTGACCACTTCATGCTGCAATCTGCATACATCAGTGAGGAAGATGTTAGCAGTTGAACAAGTCCAATAAGCATGGAAAGACGACATTTCAACACTATTTTCAATGAATTACACATTGGTGGCTACCTGACCAAAATGAATTGCACATGGGTGGCTTGAATTTTTAATTCATCATCTACCAAAATGAATTACACTTCGGTGGCTAACGGACAATTTTTGTATAAATGTATTGGGTGGCTTTAGACACTCACATGGACATCAACACATTGAAAATCTCGAGTAGTTCTAACCACCAAGATTTGAGTTCTAATAAAGTTGAAGTATTTCTTATCATAATCCATTGTCTTGCAACAAGTTATGGTTGGAAAGAAATACTAATTTATATCCTTCCTGAAATGGGATTTGTGAAGCTTTAACTAAAAAAATTAAATGTGGAAACTTAAATTTCAAAACTACTATGTTTATTTTATGTGACACTATTTTTTACAAAAAAAAAAAATCACAATATGATAATAAAATAAAATATTGTAAATGATAAATTTTCAATCTCATACTTATTGAATATAAGTTTTAGGGATTATCATTCAAAATAATGAGCTAAATGATGAATTAGAGATGGCAACAGATCGAGTTAGGATGAATTTTTTTCATCTTTAACCTCACTCAATTTTATATAATAAATATCTTAATCAAGTTGATATTAAAATATTATTTTTTATACTTACCCAATCTGCATATGCTTAAAATCATAATTGATTTGATTTAACCAGAAATTAATAAAATATTATTTTTAATATAAATAAATAATTAAATATATATAATATATAATTAAATAAATAATAAAAAAAATTTTATACATGTATTAAGTTGTGTTTGTTTAAAACTTGACTTTAACGTTCTTAAAAAAAAAATCTGATTCAATTTGAAACCTAATTTAAAAAAAAAAAATCTTATAAAATCAGATTAAATTTGATAGATTCGGATTGCGAATCCTAATTCCATCAATTATCATTACATTTTGAGACTATTTTGGGTTAACCTCCATGTTAAAGCTATTAAAAGGTCAACCCAGTCATGATGCATCATTGCTTTGCCAAATGCCAAGCTTAGTTGATAGCCCAGCCCATTGAGATGATCAGCCGAAAGGGCAAAACAGAATACATTCAATTTTCCTTTTTTTTTTTTCTATTTCTATTTTTGCCATTCCATAATTAATGAAAAGAGAAATTACCACTGGCACTTCATTGATTACAGAACGATTCATTGTAAATGTAAACGGTAAATTTCTATCAATATTATACTTATATTCAAAAATTAATAAATAACCAAATTTAATAAAATTTAATTGTAATAATAAAATTAAATATTTATATAATACATTAAAAAATTAACTTTAATCCCTTATTGTTTTGTACATTTTAAATCAGGTGCTGTTTTTTTTCTGACATGGAAGTCACGTGGCCAACATTTAAGAAACCAATTGGTGAGTGGGAAGAGCGTGTGCCCGCGTACACTATACATGCAATGTAGGCGTGTGACCACGTGCCTTTTCCCGGTCATCACGAACTGTCCTATTATCAATTTTCCACCACCAGATCAAACCTCAACGGCCCTGATTTTCCGACAGCCATATGTGACCAGTTCTCGTCGAGCACGTTTCAATCTCACAAAAGACATGCTTCTCGTGCAACTCCACTAATCCATGCAACTTCAGGTACTTATCCTCTACATTTCAACTAATTGTACTCTCCTACAATCAACCAATAGAAATCAAGCTGGAGAATATAATTATCTATTTATTTATTTTTATAATTCATGTAAGCGATATATCAATATTAGTAAGCTATTAGAATTTAATTTTAATAAAATTTAAATTCAATTTGATTAATAGTAAATTAAGTTCGAATTTTAATAATTTAATTTACCAATGAATGAGTTTGAATATTTTAAAATTCAATTTGAACATTTCATAAGTTTAATTAAAATTTTAAATCTTAATATATTTTATTATTTTAATTAAAAAATTATTATTTTATTTTTATATATCAATTCAAATTTAAATTTAAATATATAATCGAATTTAATATCAAATATAAGAATTAAACTCATTTTTATTAAGCAAATCTAACTAATTAAGTTTGAATAATTAAAATTTTATTTTAAATTAAATTTAAGTTTAAAAATTAAAACACAATTAAACTCAAATTAAATTTTAAATAATAAATTTCAAATCAAATTTAAATTTAAATTTTTATTTGTATCGATTTAATTTAATTTGCTTGCGCCTCTAATTTATATCTATAAATATAATATTGTTCTAATCCAAGCTGATTCGTTTCTCTTTCTTATCTTTTTAATCTTATCCCAAATTAATAGGTTGCACGAACTTCCCGTAAGGTTTGGGGTAGAGAATAAAAACTTGGATTGGAATTTCGTGGAAGCGATTTGTTAATTGTTAGATGCCAAAATGCCTTGAAGAAACAAACTTCGCCCGTCACCCCAATTTTGGTTTTCCAAATCCAAGCAAGACTGGGAAAAACTAACGCTGTCAACGAACCAGGCCCTTATATATATAAATCAATCAATATCTGATCATCCAATCTTCACCCTTTCAAGCATTTACCAATCCAATTCTTCTTCCCCTTAAAACCCATTTTTGTATTTTTTTTCCTTGGGTAACGAAATTCCATTTCCCAGGGGAACAAGAAAAACAACAATGGCGGTGGTGGGTAGTGTTGGTTGTGGTGGAAACGTTTGTCTTCAACGCCATGAATGTTCCAATCTTTTCAGCTTGCATAACCCAAATGCACGTCCATGTTCTTTCATGTTTTCAAATCCACATTCGTTGAAACCAAGGATGTCGTCCAAGATCTTGGCTTCATTCTCGTCGTTGTCGTCGTCTAAGGTAAGTCTTCAACCATTGCTGAAACAAGAAGAAAAGAAACGGAACGAATTGTCGTACGAGAAAATAGACGAGTGGATGAGAGATTCAGTGGTTGAAATCGTCAAGAGGTTGCCAGAATCGCCGCTTTTGGTCCAGGTGTACTCCAATGACAACACGACGAAGACAAGGACGGAAAAAGCGGAGGAAGACAAATGGGTTTTGGTGAAACAAAAGTGGGAAACAGGTGAGACACCAATGCCTGATGGGGTGATTTTTGTTGAACAAATACAAGAAGAAGAAGAAGGCAAAAAGGGTGATGAAAAAGAGAAAAATGAGGAGGTTTCTAGGGCATGGGGGATTGTGGTTCAGGGCAAAGGTGAAGAAGGGAGTGGATCACCTCAAGCTTGTTATTTGTTGAAGACTAGTAAAGTGGGTTCAGGGTTTGGGTTAAGGTGCACCCATTTTTGTTTGGTGAAGGTTAAGAGTTTCAGGGAAACTGCTTTCTCACAGCTCAAGAATTGTTGGCTGTTGCAGGGGAATTGAACAAAAACAAAAGGTTGATTCTTTTTTTTTTTTTTAATATTTTTATTGTTAATAAGCCTTGAGCAATGCCTTTGAATTTGTAGGCTGGGGGTCCTCTTGATTAAAGTCAAACTGGAAAATTGATGTACAAAATTATTATAGGAATTAAGAGTTCGAATGATTTCAACATCAGTTTCTGTTTGCAACTTTTGTAAATGGAATAGAGATATGTGAAACAGAGCTAGGGCATGCGACTAAAAGAATCCAGGATTGGTTGGTGCATCACTGTTGCTTCATTAATTCTGCTTGGATATATATGTTGCGAGAGTTAAATTTTACCTGTGACATGTGTCTAGAACTGTAAATTGGCGCACTCAAACATTTGCCTCAATGACTACTGGATGATAATTTACTCAAAACATAGGCCTTTTGGAGAAATCTATGCAAACAACCAATTTTACTGCAAAATTAGCTTCAAATATTCAAGATGTAAAATCCATATTTTACATTTCTGCTGTCTGGTACTTCAATTGGAGAAATCTGTGCAAACAACCAACTTCTAAATCCATGGCTTAACTTGATCTGTTTGAATGATCTGCATATAAGGTATAAGGCTCCATTTTGCACTTCCATATGCCGAAATATGAAGATTACAAGCTTTATGATATGATATAAATGACAATTTTCATCGTTATTCTGTAGCATTGTCCATGATTCTCTTTCCTCAGGAATTTCGAAAATGCTGAAATTCCTGGTTCCAAATGCTTTTGGGTACTTGAAATTTACTGAATTCTGAATGACAATTTGCCAAATATGTATAGTCTTTAGCAGAACCTGATACTTGTGCTTGAATAACTCTGAACGATTCCTTCCCAGATGTGCTCCTCTAAAAAACCCAAAGCCAAGCATATTCTCAAGTCCTAACATTGTGAGTAGCCGGGTCCAGCACCACATTTCAAAGAGAGCAAGGAAACAGAATGATTAAATTGAATTTCCAAAAAGATTGAATGCCACCAAATTAAACAAGGTTTTAACTATTTTTACAATTGAGAACAATGAAATGCTTATGCAAAGAGAAAAGATAACAGAAAAAAGCAGTAAATACGGTCACCTCAATTGCCGGATTGCTGGTTGCAATATCCATTTATCCCGAGGCTCAGGGCAACTTTTTCAATTTAATGATTAAAGATTGTTCGAAGTGTAATCAATTAAGTTCAAATCAATATAATATTAAGTTTGAATTAAATTTTGATTTAAAACTTAATTTGATTAGATCAAATTTTATTTTTTTAAATCAAATTTGATTTGAAATGAAAATTAAATTACTCAAATTCATTTGATTAGATTTGATTAACATATAAAAATAAGTTTAATTTTTATATTCGATAAAAATTCGATTATTTATTTTTAAGCTCAAACTTGAATTTTAAAGATTTTATTAATTAAAATATAAAAATTCGATTAGATTTACGAATTATTTGAGTTAGGTATGAAAACATTCGAATTCAACTCGTTTGATAAGTTGAATTATTTGAACTTGAGCTTAACTTAAAATAATTGAGTAAAATTTTAATTTTATTTGAATCGAATTTGAATAACTTACAATTTGTAACGTATCACTTATAATTTTAGTTTCCATTGAATCATATATAACTAAAATAATATGTAATACAAGTTTTTATAAGTCTTCAAACCTACCTTACCTTAAGCTATATATTTTTATAAGTCGTCATATATTAAACTTTATTATTGAACAAAGAAGAATGCAACGAATATATCAATATTAGTATATAATTTACGTATCTGAAATATCAAAATTAATTACTCTCAAATAAATATCTCAAATTTTAAAATTTTTTTATTTTAATTTAGAAGTCTCGAAATTAAAATTTTAACAGTAATTTTTAATTCTATATTTAAAATGTTTAATTTTTTTTTTAAATCTCAAATTCAAATCTTATATAAAATATTATTTTTATTATAATTCAAAATTATATACATAAAAAATTGTCAAGAAGCAGGCAAATAAAACCCAAAAAAGTGATATTAGGAGTGTAAATGATACATTAATACTCACAAATTATTTGAGTTCGATTAGAATAAAATTCGAATTCGGTTTGATTATTATCAACTCGAGTTCAAGTTCGAGTAGCTCGACTTATCAATCTAGCTGAGTTTCAGTATTCTTATACTCGATTCGAATAGCTCGTAAACTTAATCGAATTTTATATTTAATTTTTTTATTATTTTAATTAATAAAATATCTCAAATTCAAGTTCGAGTTCGAGCATAAATAATTAAACTCTTATCGAATATAAGAATTAAGTTTATTTTAATATATTAATCGAACGAGTTCAAGTAATTTGATTTTGATTATAAATCAAGCTCAAATTAAAAAAATAAAATTTAATCGAATTCAAATTAAATATCAAACCTCAAATTAAGAATAAAATTCAAACTTAAATATTTTACTATATCAATCGATTTATTTACCTTCTAAATGAGATTGACGTAGAAACGCAGGGTGAGGAGTAAAGTCTAGGCCGTGGCAAATACGGCAAAAGTCGCTGCATCGAGCCTCGTATTTGAATTTGAAAAAACAATGAAACATAAAAAAGGTTTCTCTCAAAATCGCAATCCCGTATCAATGTGTAAAAGGTGTAATTAAGTCATATTAAATTGGTATAATAAAAATTTTGAGTTTGATTTTAAAATTTAATTTAAGTTTAATTAAATTTTAAATTTAAATTTAACTCTAAATAAAAATTAAATTATTGAATTCGTTTAATTATATTCATTTATTTAATAAAAAAATTGATTTTTATATTTAATTTTAAATTTAATTATTTATATTTGAATTTAAATTTATATATATTAATAAAATAATAATTTTTTAATTAAAATATAAAAATTCAGTTATGTTCAAAAATTATTTGAATCGAATATTAAAATATTTAAATTTGATTTATTTAATAAATTAAATTATTTAAGATTAATTTGATAATAATTAATTTAAATTTAAATTTTATATAAATTAAATTCGGTTAATTTGTGAACAATGGTGTATTATTTATACTTTACCATTTTATTTGTTTTTTCTTTGCTTAAATACTAACTCAAAATGAAACTCCAAAAAAAAACCTCACACAAAAACCATTCTTAATCTTAAAAAGCGCGCTGTCCCTCTCTTGCTTCAGCAAATTCAAATCCCACAACACAACCACCAAATCCGCCTTTGAACTGAACATTCAAAAAAAAAAAAAAGGCAACGCCCAAAAACCCAACAGATCTACCCTAACTAAAGCCATCAATCTCTCTTCACCCTTAACTTTCCATTCATTTTCACGGATTCTCAAATACCCTTTTCAGCAAAACCTCTATTTCTTCCAAAGTTTGGAGCTTTTCTTCATTCTTTTCTCAAAACCCCCAATGAACTTGGTTCTTGCAAAGTTTTGAAATTTGAAATTTGGGTTTTCTAAGAAATGGAAGATCAAGCTGATTCTGCCATGGTTTCTAAAGTTTTGGAATTGATGTCTGGATCTGATTCCAAGGTTGGCTCTTTTTATTTTTTTCTTTCTTTTTTTTTTTTTTGGGTTCAAAATATGTTGTTCATTATCTTGGTTTTGGATTGTTTTTTAGTTAGTGGGAGTGAAGAGGAGCAATAATGATTTCGAACAAAGACATGATGTTTCACCTAAGCGAGTCAAAATGAGAGATCTTGGTTCTGTCATCCGCTCTGAGGGTAAATTTTTATGCTTTTTTTTGGAGTGAGGGAGGGGTTGTTGTTCATTTGAATTATTGGTAAATTAATCTTCTTAAAACATTTGAACTGATTATTGTTTTGGTAGCCTATTTTATACCCTTTCTGCTTGAATTTGTAAAAAGAATCAAATTTTGTAATGATATTACTATGTAACTTACATTTTTGAAAAGATTTTCTTTTTTTTTTTCTTTCATTTATGCAACAGAAATCAATGCCCACAATTCCAAATCTTTGAAAGGGAAAGAATGTAGTCAGCAATTGCAGTTTAGTGGAGAAGGGGTATCTCAAGTTACTGAGGTACCAGTAACCATTTCTCAAGTTGAAACAACTAAAGGGGAAAAGTTATTGGCGGTGGTCCATCCTATCTCTCACCCTCTTGACCTTAACACTGAAATTTGCAGTCCTATCAATGAATCATCTGATAACAATCTGAAATATGAAGAAAAGTTTGACAAAGTTTGTTCACAGGAGAGTAATTGTGTAACCTCGAAAGGCATTGGCTTGGATCTGAATGTGGAAGATGTTTCTAGCTCGTTAAACCATGAATCAGTTCATCACAAACATGTCAACAATTTGAAGTCAAAGGATGTTTCAGAGTGCGGAAGTTATATTGGCCCAGTGAAGGAGAAAGACTCATTGAGAATTTGGAAGGAGATGAAGCAAAATGGTTTTCTTTCATCTTCTCATGGAGGTATATCTATGCAAAATGGTTTACTCTCACCTTATCATGGAGGTATAGCTATGCAAAATGGTTTACTGTCATCTTCTCATGGTGGAATACCAGTTCCCAAGCAACGTGGGAGGAAAAGTAAGAATGATGTGTTCAAGAAGAAGATGGAGCTTGCAAAGAAAGAACAGGTTGACAGGTTCACAAAAATTGCTGCTCCAAGTGGACTACTCAATGGATTAAACCCTGGGATTATAAATCATGTTAGAAATAGAAAACAGGTCCATTCCATAATAGAGGCCTTAGTGAAGTCTGAAAAACTTGAAATTTTGCATTCAGAAAGCAAACAGGCAAGTCATGTCAAAAGTGGAACTAAAGATGATGATGGTAAGAAGGATAATGGAAATATGGATGATTCTGCATTACATCAATCCGGTTGTTACCATGAAGATGGGCCTCCAAATGCTACATCTATAAGCAAGAAAGCAGGAGGTTATCTAGTGCCAATGAATAAGGGATTTTCGTCAATTTCAGAGGAAATAAGTGGAGATGGTGATTCAGGCATGGTAGACCCACTCAGCGAGGATGATGCACTAATGTTGAAGTTGTCATCATCAACTAAGGCATCTGAGAATGCTAGCTCTTTGTTTAATGAGGAATCAACAAACTTTGCCAGTGCCTCTTCTCTTTCTGTAAAAGGTCAGAATTTGTATTTGTTATCTAATTCTTTATATCAGAACATCCTTGAAAAAAGTGAGAATAATTGGTAATAATGAGTAGATGTTGAAAAGGTGGTAGTTAGGTGTAGCCCAGAGAGCTTATTCCTTAACATATGCATCTTTGTTCATGAAAAAAATGGCAATTGACCAAGATTTAGATGCCTGATGTTTGTTGTTGTCTGTACAATAAAACTATCTGGAATCAACTATTTTCAGTTGCTAAAGATGATTCATGTTTTTATGGTGATTGTAACAAAGAAAAGAAGCCCAAACTGATATAAATGACACATTGTTTTTCAGCTGCCACTGTTGCATCTCAATGGTTGGAACTTCTTCAGCAAGATATTAAAGGACGTCTTTCAGGTATTTTTCTTTCACTCATATTGTTTTTAGATGGTTAGGCTTTAGAGTGGGATGTGTATTTACGTACTTTTTTTGTTGTATTGCGCTCAACCTTGTAGCATTGCGACGAAGCAAGAAGAAAGTGCGAGCCGTAATTACAACAGAGCTACCTTTTCTTATATCAAAAGAATTCTCCTCTAACCAAGGGAGTGATCCTAATATCACAAGAAGTTCTGCTGATGGATTTTCCCATGATGCTACTGCTGAGATGCATAGAGTGAGATGGAGTGCATTGTTTGATCAGATGGATAAAGCTCTTTCTGAGGAAGAGAAACAGCTAGTAAGTTGCAGAGAACTTGTCATGTTTAATGTTATTTAAAGGGTTTCCAATCTTTCTTACTTTCATAATTATATTCCAGGAAAGTTGGTTGAACCAAATAAAAGGGATGCAACTGCATTGTGATCAGGGCTTGCAACATATGCATTGGAATGTGCTTTACGGTTTACCACAACTAGGAGCAGCAGAAAATGATATCAGGTTTGACTATAGTTTTATTCTGATTCTGTTATTATGATGATTAGATATGCCTTAGATTTTTATATCCATTGGAACTTCTCAAAACTGATAATTTCTTTATGAAAACAAAAAATGTTGAAACTGGGCATCCAAGACCAAAAGTATTTTGTTGCTTTATTCATCACACAAGTCCGTAAAATTTTGATTTTGTGCTAAAAAAGATTTAAAACAGTTTTGTACCTTCATTCTTTGTTCCCGATGTCCACTATTGCCCTCAGATATCATTACTACGTTGTTTATGATGCAACTTAAGATGAAGGCATGAAATCTCATTCATACGACCATAGACATTTGGCTTGGTGGCCACATATCCATACCTTAATGGTTGGGAAGTTGCAATCCAGCATTAAATCCCCCACCGATACTTGGATCCTTTTAATTGCAACCCTCACAGAAAGACCCTATATATGTGCTATTATCTAGCTTAATATAGCTCAGTTACTTAGTTGATACCAACGTCTAACCTTATCCATCTTCTTGTTCCTGCGTCTTGTGTTGTCTGGTTGATAGTCATGTTCTCGTGCAGGTCGGGGATGGGGGATAGCTTTGATAGGGAATTGGCTGTGAGGGCGGCTGCTGCTTCCATTTATTCGACATGCAATTTCATGCTGTCAAAGGAGAATGCACCCTGTTCCTTAATCTGATTAATGCTATCCTAGAAATATCAATGTGCATTATGCAAACTAGTTATTAGGTTTATTAAGCTGATAAGGCCTTGCTGGGTTGTGAATTTCTAACACTAGAAGTAGGGCCATATTTTTTTTTTTTCAATTTCATTTGTAAGCCTTTATCAGCATATGGGCAGAATTTGATGTTAGAATTGCAATTGTTCGCACTGTAAGGTTCTTTGATACACATTTGCTGAATCTGAAACGAAAATGAAAATTTGTTCAAACTTTTTTTGCCGTTTTATTGCACTTATCTTATCACCGTCGCTGTTTTCAACTTATCAAAGTTAATTTTATCGTTCATCCGAATAGAATTCCTGGTTTTGTCATTTGTGATGCTTACCCTACTGTATTGAGCTGTCTCAGATTGGGTATTTTTAAAATTTTCTATTAATAATTTATCTTTTGCTTTGAAAAAAAAGGTTTGTGATTAGAGTCATAAAATCAATTCAAGTCATTTTATAAGTGAAAAAGAAACGTTAGATATGTCTTTGATCACAAAGAGAGTTTTGACTAGAAACAACACACGTGTTAAATTTACAAAAACAAATGTGAACCGGAACTCTCCTATAGTTTATTCAGGTTAGTCAAAAATTTCTCTCATAAATCAATTAAAGATTTAAATCTTAAAATATGTTTGCACTTATATATCTATATATATATATATATATAAATATATTCTTCTTCAACCAAATATTCATTTGTCATTCTTCTAAAAATAAAATCATTTATCATCTAGCAAAAAATAAATAAATAAATAAATATTTGTTTGTCATTTTATATCATCAACTTAATTAAAAAAAAAAATTCATGTACCAACTCCAAAGCACGATCATACTTGCTTTATGCCATTTAAAATTTTTAATTTTGATTTGACGAAAAATTTTCATGACACAATCATAGAATTTCAACTGAAATAATTTTTTTTAAAAAGATTCAGATTTATCATATAAAAACCTTAGAATATTTGAATTGCAAATCAAGTATTTTTCACATGGATTAAAGCTCGTTTTCCTCATTGACATGTGTTTTATCTTATGACAAATTCTACAAATGTTGGGACCTCATAGTCCGTTGACACTTACCCAATATTTTAGAAAAAAAAAATTAGGATTTATTAGGACCACATGAATGAACCAACAAGATTCTCTATTTTTATGTGCAAATTTTTGGGTAATCAGTAGATAGAATTAGAATAAAGATTAAATTTTTAATTTTTTTAATGAATAAAATTTAAGGTAAAGTAAAGTTTTTTTTAATTGCAACTTGTATTATTTATTTTTTTAAGGTAAACTTGTATTATTTACATCCAAATCTTCTCTTAATTTTTGTTGTATACTTTATATTTTTATTTTTTTAAGAAATAAAAATAAATAATAAAAGTATTATTTAAATAGAGTTTAAAATACTGTTTCAATATCAACTAAATCTAAAAATTAAGGCAACATGTGTTGTCTTCAGTTGCTTCACTTAATGATTAAAATAATCTTAAAAAAACATTAAAATTGAGATTAATCTCAACTTTGTTCTCTTTTTTTTAAGGTAAGGTTCTGTCTTTTTAAATGATAAAAAATAAAAAGTCAATGTCTTTACCACCATATAAAATATTATTTGCTTTTGACTTTTTGATTTCACGTGAATTGAAGAGGAAAAAGACACTGATATATTTTAAAATTTCACTATAATTATATAATTGATGTGAAATTCAATATGCGTCGTCGACAACTTAAGATGCAAGCATGTTGGATTATTGTTTTTTATTTTATACATGGGAATTAAAGGTTATGGAGCGAAAGATTGGAGTGGTCCAAGCATGTACATGGGACCAATTTCATGCATATCATATTTACGTAGAAATTATAGAAAATTGTAGCAAAGTTCGAATTTGATTTTTATATTATTTTAATTTTCAAAATTTTAGTTTTTATTATTTTAATTTTAATTTTTATATTATCTATTATGCCAAAACTCAATCTTTGATGACCGTTCAGTTATTATTATTTTTTTTTGGGGATATTTACTTCCAATTTATTTGTTTAATGCTATAATAGTAACTTAGTCATAAATTTATTTATTTATTGATAAAAAAAGAATTTGATCAAAAAATAAAGGAAAGAGATGTAGGAGTTAAGATTTAAACTCAACATTTATTCGATATTACTTCTTACAAATAACTGCGAGAATTAAATATTTAAAATTAACCTATTTGGATATTTTATTTTTGCCCTAAAATCAAACTGGTCAGTACTGATCATACGGCTACTGACAAAGCTTTTTATCGGTTCTAAAGCTGAGTATATAGTGCAGCAGGCAAGCGAGGTTTAGCAAGTGCATGCAATGGTTTCGCCAAGAAAAGATCATCTTCAGATTCAGAGAGGTCAATTTTCGATTCATTAGGAGGTACGTTCCATGTGAAACCTTGAATCAGCCTGGCAAACAGCATTATTGTCATTTCAGACCCAAGAGCCACTCCCATGCACCCTCGCCTTCCAGTACTAAACGAAATGAACCTCAGTTCTGTCTCTGTCAGATCAACTTTACTACCACAACCATCCTTCAAATGCCGCTCAGGTTTGAACTCCAATGGTTCATCCCAAATTTTCGGGTTCCGGCCTAGGCCTGTTCGGCTAAGCAGGACATGACTGCCTTTAGGGATGAAGTAGCCGGCAACAGTGGCATCGGCGTTTGAGACATGGGGAATGTTGAATGGTGCAATGGGGTGAAGCCGAAAAGCTTCCCTTGCACAAGCCTTCACGTAGTTGAGTTTTGGAATGTCAGCCTCTTGAACCAATCTGTCCTTTCCAACAACATTGTCTATTTCCTCGCTGGCCTTTTGAAGAATTTCAGGTTTGTTCAGCATCTCTGCCATTGCCCATTCTGCTGCATTAGCGGGATTATCTATTGTTGCAAGCATTAGTTCCTGCATATAAAATAATGATCTTAGTTAAGCAAAAAATCCAGCAATTAATGCACCGTAAAAAAGTCCACTAGTGTGTCTCAACGGGAAAGACTATTGTATAAGTGAAGTTTGTAAAATTTTTTATTAAAAATACGTAAATTAAAATTGATATATTGAAAGATTTCATTATATAAATTAAGCGTAAAAAATTTTGAAAAAAATTTAATAAATTTAGATATATTTATTAAATAGACATTTTTAGTAAAAATATTTATAAAATTTTTATCGTTGGATAAGTATCGATAATATTTGAATTATAAATAATTTGTTTAATAATATTTTTATATATTATTAATTTTTATATTAAACTCTATTAATTTATCAGTTGAATTTTTATTAAAATTTTTATTTACTTATTTATAATAAAGAATTTTACAAACTCTACCTATGAAACTCCATGTAAGTTTTACTTAGAGATATTCATTTGGTTAATTCGATTAATTTCGAATTGAATTATCCAAAACTGAATTATATTATTTTATTTTCATTAATCGAATCAAATTTTTTAATTTTAAAAATTAATCAACCGAATTTAATTCGATTGATTTTGTTAATTTTTTTTATTAACCGAATAATAAATATATTTTAATTAAAATATATTTTAAACTCTTAATTTCTCATATTTTATACAAATTAAATAAAATTATCCAATAAAATATTCAAATATCAAAGTATAATGTCAAAAACTCTAATAAGTTATAAAATCAAATGATCTATTTCATGTATTTTTTCATTTTATATTTGGATTTTATTATATTTTAATTAAAATTTCGATTAATTTTATTAATTCGATTTTCGAATTGAATTAACCAAAAATCAAAACTATTTTTAAAGTTATTTTCGTTAAGCGATCGAAATTAATTCGTTGACCAACTGATTAATCGATAATCACACCCTTAGTTTTACCTACGTGCCACCAGTCGTGTAAATAACATTCTCACCGTGCATTGGGCTTTGATCTCTTCAACTGAAAGTGTTGGCTTCCCATTTGAATCCTTTGCTAAGATGAAGGCATCAAGCAGGTCGTCAGGCTCGTTCTTCTTCCCTTCTCTCCACTGTTGTACTCTCTCATCAATGATGGAATCATGGTAGCCATTGACAATTTTCATAGCCTCACTTACAATCTTTTCATGACCCTCCAAATCTAATGGTCTCAGCCAAGGTACATAATCTGATAGGATGAAAGAGTAAAGGTGCTTGAGAACTGTAAAGAGAGACTCGACGTGTTCTTCTTCTTCATATCCAGGTCCTCCATCTGCTTTACCTTTTCCAAAGTATCTTTTGTTGAACATCATCCTCCTGATAACATTTCCAGTATATTGCCTGACTGCAAGTCTCAGGTTTATAACAGAGCCATTGGAAATACTATCATTTTCACTGTTGATGCATTGGTTGTAAATGAACCTGACAAGATTATCAGCTTCTTGGGTTCTCTTATGGAGTAACCAGCTAAGTCTTGCTGGACTAATTATGTTCGAAGCAAGCACTTTTCTCATTTTCTTCCATTGATCTCCCCATGGCACCAAAGCAGTTGACAAGAAACCTTGAGAAGCATACTCAGTTGCCATTGTAATAGGCCTGGATGCGAAAACTGAATCATGCTTCTTCAAGAATTCTCTAGCAATTTCAGGTGAAGTGACTGGAATGACATGAATGTTTCCCAGGCGGATACAAGCAATATCGGTATCAAGTTGTTTCATGAGGCCATGAATCCACCTGAAGACTGGCTTGTTTTTCCATATTTCTGGAAGGTTTCCAATGACTGGCCATGGAGTTGGCCCTGGAGGGAGAGGTGCTTGGTTGCTCTCCTCATCATTTCTAGTACTCCCTTTCAATTTGGCAAAGACAAGCGGTGCAAAGAGAAGCACTAGAACAAGTGCTGAATGAAATGAACTAAGTAATATAGAGATGGCAAAATCATGTGAGCTGCTCCAATAAGGCAGCTGATGAAATGGAAAGGAAATATTGGTCGAGGTAGAGAAGTTATCCATGTGGTTACAATTGAACAGAAGTTATTGTCTTCTATTCTTCGGTCTGTTATGTTTGAAGGAAACGAAGATGGTCCGAGGCATATATATAGAGAGATAGAGAGGTGTGAGCACATTTTGGCCATTAATTCATCGTGCTCTTTTAGAATTTTAAGAGGCTGTTAACATCACTGTATAGCAAGTGTCGTTTTGCTAGACATTATTGGTATTTGTTGATTTTTTTAATTTGTTTTTTAAGACAAGCTGAAAATTAAGCGAAATTATATTTTTTTGGGATCATTATTGAAATTTTGTTTTAGCATTCAAAGAAAGCAGGAATATATTCTGCTACAATGTTTATAAACCCAGAAACAGCAGCTAATTATTAACTAACTAATTACTTGGTAAATACATCCCGGCCTATGTCTATCTCACAAAATTATATAATTTTCTTACATATTTCTTTCATACTTAATTTTACAGAGATTCTTACTATTTATAATAAAATTAACTTGCCTATAAAAAATGTTTTTATTTTTAAATTTTTTTTTTACAAATTTTTTTATCCATAAAAAATATTCGGCCAATCTCGAAAAATCTAAATAAATTTTGAGTCATTATTCCCGATAACTTAAATTAGAGTCAATCTTCATATTGTAAATAAAAGTATATATTTGATACAATATTAATATAAAATCACTATTAAAATGCATAAATATAAATTCTATAAGTAATAGAAAGTGGTGTCAATCAGTATGCTAATTATATAAGTTATTAAATTCATCTGAATTGAAACAATGTTATTATTATACCACCTATTCTCCCTTTCTAATTTATTAAAGAGGAAGATAAGAAAGAAAACAGAGGCTGTGGTCACATGCAGATGAGAATCAGCAAAACAAAAAAATAAATAAATAAATATTACGAGTCTGAGAGACCACAAGTATGCCTAAAGCATCAGCAAAGGAGTTAGCTTCAGGCATAATGTGATGGAAAGAAACAACATTGAGTCTTCTTTTGACAGTAGTTGCAATCTGATTTGAAATAAACCTCATTTGCCAAGGAATTGGCTTGGAGAAATCAATTTGACAGTAGTTTCCATCTAAGATTAGAGTCCTCAACCCCAATTGCCTTGGAGAAAACAATACTAGAATGTATAAGTATAATTTAAAATTTCAAAAATCATATGTGAATATTAGAATATCAAATTTAATTATATTACATTTTTATTTGGACAGATGTAATTGATAAAAAAAAAAAAAAAGCAATTATAATTTTTTGAAAAGATTAAATCTTCTTCTTCTTTTTTTTTTTTTTTTTTAACCGGCAACTCTCAATGCCCAGATAACATTATTTACAAGTGAAGAAAGTTTATTAAGTTAAAAGCTTATACAACTGTTAAGTCACAATAACCTAATAAAATATGTAAAGTTTACATGTAAATAATCCTAATTAATTACTTGAACTTTCATACTTGTATGTATTAAAATTAAATTTATCAATTTATTTTATTAAATTATAAAATTATTAATTAATAATAGTCCATTTATTGAAAAATTCAAACAAGATGATCTCGCAAAACACCACCGACAATGGTCGGTTCTGGTCTGACGATAGACGGTACGAAGAAGAAAGCATGCATACGTAAAACCCGCCGACTGAATCCTCACATTTTTTTTAAAGAAAAACGTTAACATTACCTTAGAGTGAGAGACGTGGAAGTGATGACTTTGAAAATTCATGGTATGAAATTCCTGGTGGTTTGTCAAGGTGAAAAAAAAAATTCATGAAATAATTAAGAAAAGGCAAAAAACGAAATGCATTAAATTGAAAAATATTTCCTAAAATAGACTCTCATAGCGTTACTTAAGGTGTAATTAATGAACTATTTCTTTTAATTTAATAAAAATAATAAATTAAATAAAAAAATGCCTTTTTAAAATAATAATTAAATAATCCTTAATCAATGTCTGCATGCTTTCGTTAAGCATCGGACTTATTTATTAAATTATTTTTTAAAAATTTTTATTTGTGGCCACAAATTATTTTTTAAAAATTTTTAATAATAAAGGAAAATATTATTTGTGGCCAAGAAGAAAACAATAATGAATGGTCCTCCTCGCTTTGGATTACTGTGAATAGAGGCCACAAAATTAATGAGACAAAAATCCTAGAGTCAAACAATTGCGCCTATTATTTCTTAAAAAAGAAAAAATCCACGCATGTTTGTAGCAGGTACAATGGAAATTGTAATAAAAATGAATGAATCAATTTTGCATTGAACATCTAATGAGAGGCCACAAACATAGGATTGTTTGCCCATGTTTACATTGCTTTGAACATCTTTCTTATGTTGTCCTTCTAAAACCCATGAAAACAACGTTTCCTTCTTTGACTCTATATTTAGCTATTTTCACTTTCATTATTTATATTAAGGAGGTAAATCATATATTAATATTTATAAATTATTTTAGTTTAATTTAAATAAAATTTAAATTTAACTCGATTATTATCGAATCGAATTTGAGTAGTTTGACTTATCAATTGAGCTGATATTCTTATACCCGACTCAAATTATTCATGAATATAATTAAACTTCTATATTTTAATATATTTTAATTATTTTAATTGATAAAATATCTCGAATTCGAATTTAAACTCGAATACAAATAATCAAGTTTTTGTCAAATATAAAAATTGAACCTATTTTTACATATTAATCGAGTATCATCGAACGAACTTGAATAGTTAGATTTTTATCTCGAGTCGAACTTGAGTTAAAAAAAAAATTCAATCAAGTTCAAATTAAGTTTTGAACATCAAATTTGGAGTCAAGCTTGAGCTCAAACTCAAGCTTAATACTGTATCAATTCAAATTTGATCGATTACACCTCTACCTTACATACTTTCTATGATCAAATGTTATCTATAAGCGTGTAAGTTTTAAATTTATGGTCATTTATTTTTTTATTAATATACATATATATTAAAGTACAAAAATTGTCTATATTTTCTCAAATCTAGTTAATGCACACTTAACTAATTTTGGGTTAAAATTAGAGGTCTTTATGGGTCGGATTTAGTTAGATTTGATCTAGACTCATATTTAGTATTAATAGCTTATATACTTATTCAAGTTCGATCCGAAATTTTAAATCTCAAATTTTTTTAAATCCAATCCAAATTAAAAAATAAATTTCAATCACTCATTAAATTTAATTTATATAATAAAAAATTAATGAAATGTGATTAAATTAAATTTAATAAAATTATATTCAATTCATATATATAAATTAAAATTAAAATTAAAAAATCTACTATATAATTTTTATTTTTAATATTTATATATATGAATTAATATATATATAGTTCACGTATAAATAAATAAAAAATTTATATATATATGAATTCAAGTATAGTTAAATTGGACTCAAGCTTTAAATTTTTTTGTTCAAGAGGTAACCCAAAATTTAAATAAGTTTAAAAATTATGTTCAAACTTTTTTAAAACTTGAATGAGCTTTTAGATTTAGATAAATAACCCGACCTTTGAACAAGTTTAGTTAACACCTAAATGAGCTATTAAACTAATTTACTAAAAAATAAAAATAAACCCTCAATATGTGATTGCATTTGCTTGAATTATGGTGTTAAACATTTACTTTATTATAATTATAGCCGATAAATTTTACAAATAAATGAATAAAATCATTGCTAGAATTATTATTATAATAATATTCTTTCCAAAAATTTGTTCTTCAAATCATCCAAATATGTAAGTTTTAAATTCATGATCATTTTATTGTTTATTAATATATTTAAAGTATTAAAATTGTCAATATTTTGTGAAAGTGCTAAAATTATTAATATATTATTTTTTAATTATATAAAAAAACATATATACATTTCAAGTCACCAAACTTTTAAATGTGTGTGTCACAGGCTAAGACTCAACCTCCAGGCTCTCGCGGCTCCAGAACCCTGACAACGACTTATCTAGTGTTCGAGATCAGCCTACTTGTCACAATTCACACGCTAATAAGGTATTGTCCGCTCTAACCCATCTGGCCTTGCGATTTTATCTTACAAAAGGCCCTTGATAAGGGAAATATGATGTGAACCCTTATATCTCAAAATCAATTCTAGTACTCAATCGATGTGAGAGTCTTGGCTTTACTTCAAGACTGTGACATCCTCTTCCACTTCAACAAGGGTCTACCATCTTCAATGGTACATCACTAGTACTCTCAGAGCTGGCTCTGATACCATTTGTCACGAGCCAAGACTCAATCTTCAGGCCCACACAACTCCAGAACCTGGACATTCACTCATCCGGCATCCTAGATCAACCACGCTTGTGTTTAAGGCTGACTTAGGCTAGAATGAGGTGACAAAGGCCTAGTCCGGAGGTATGAAGGACCTTTTCGAGTAGTCAATAGGGTAGGAAAGGTTGCCTACAAGCTAGATATGCCACCCAAGCCGAGAGTACACCTGATGTTCCATGTTAGCATGCTCAAGCCATTCCATGAAGCTAAAGAGGATCCAAACTGCATATTCAAAGCGTGCCCTATTGGACTAGGCCTTATATGAGAAGGATTCCACGCATTAGCTGACGAGAGGTTGTAGTCTCACTAGTAACACGTGTACTTGAGATTTAATATTGTGAAGAATTATCTCCTAAAGTATTAATACATTTAATATATTAAATTAGGGTAAGATTAATATTTAATATTTAATAATATTTGATCATTCAATAAAAATGTCAATTTAATAGATTATTATCAGGTCGATTTAAATTTAAAGTTATTCAACTTATCAATCAACTGAGGTCGAAATTTTATATAAACTAAAATAGTAATAGTCTATAATCAATTTTTATATTTTTTATTTTAATTAATAAAATTTTTTAAACTTGAATACAAATAATTAAATTTTTATCGAATATAAAAATTAAGTTTATTTTTATATATTAATTAATTTGAATTAAATAAATTCAAATAATTTAATTTTTATCTCGAATTAAATTTAAATGAAAAATATAAATTTTGATTAAATTTAAACTAAATTTTAAATTTTAAATATCAAATTAAATTTAAATTTAAATTTAATGTTATATTAAATTAAACTCGATCGATTACATCGTGATTGAGACTCAAACCAAGAGCAAAGGAGCAGTCTGCTTCATAACTAATAAAAGAATGAATGATGTTCCATAAATATCTTATCTTTTATAAAATAGGTACAACCTATC